CAACACCGGTGGGCTTTGTCACCACGCGGGGCAAAGCAACGGATGATCGCAACCGTGCTCCCTCCATGAAGCTACTCGTGGTAAGTACTCTGTCAGGAGAATGCTGAGATTTCGGACTGTCACTTACTATCGGGTCAACAAATTGTCTGCGGCGGCGTTGTTTGCCTTAGCCAACCGGTTAATCTCAGGGAGATGCTCGGCTCCCTCCGGGGACAGGTAGTAGTCAAGACACTGGGAGAAGAGCTGTGCTTGGTTGGCTACCATCCCACCAGCGGTGGGCAGAATGTGAGTCCACACAATTTCGTTCGCTGGCTTGCCCGAATCAAGCAGACGTTGAATCATGTGTGTGCCATACTCGCTGAGCACGTCATGCCGGTGAAGGTTATGCACGATATTCGCGATAAAACCCGTCTTGCTGACCAATTCGACATTGGCCATGGTAAGCTGACCGAGCTGCTGTGTCACCTCGCGCGCGCCTTGGTTGAGTTCGAAAGATTTCGCCATATCAGCATCGTAAAAGATCGAGGTAAAGACAACGGCCATGAGCTTGTACAGTTCTGACTCGGTGAAGATACCCCGTGGGTTCGCTTCGGTTTTTAGTGGAAGGGAGAAAACGGAAGCGCAGAAGTGGACTTGCGCAAGGTTCGCAATATCTCGGACCACGTCCACCTGGTTGACCCCGGCGATCTGGTAAGAGTTCTTCTCCAGGAGCTGTAGCGTGATCTCCTCGTAGAATTTCTTGACCTCGAGCTTCCAGTCCTTAGTATACAAGGCATTGTGCACCATTTTCCGCGACTCGGCATTAGGCTTCCTATCGCCGGATAGCATGAAGTCTCTACCGTACGGTTGGTTGTTGTTGTGCATCAAGAACTCAATCTTTTTGCCCCATGTAACGTTGAACGTCTCAGGGTCCGCCAGCACCGACATACAGGCAGAGTGAGATGTCAACATTTTCGGGGGAGGGGTGAAAGCAGGTTTAGCCCAGCTGTACTTCTCAGCAGAGCCAAGCTTTGTGTGGATCTTTTGGTTCTCCGATGGAATGACGAGCGGGAAGTGAGCATAGACCGAATTTCCCTGGAAATGATTTGGGAATGCCCGCAGTACGAGCTTTGAGAAGACATGGCCTTGGTCGACAGTGTCCGAGGCTTGAATCTCCTTGTATGCCCAATTCGTCAAATGTTTCGGCGTAAAGTCGACCGTGTAGAACCGATCACCCCGAACCAAGGCGACTGCATCAGAGAGAACGGCCCTGGATACCGTAAAGTTGGTACACAGACCACTTCCAGGAGACATGGGCTCTTTTGTGTCCTCTACGATGATACCTGGGTAGATCTCCACTAGGTCCGGATGGTCGTACAGCCTCTTGAGCTGATCCGCGATATAGGGATCGGGGTTGATATCTTCGAACGTCTTGTGGGGGGCCAGGTTAAAGTATTTTCGAAACTCGTTCAACGTAGCCAGGTTCCAAGACCGAGCTTGCTTGATACCAAGGGCTTCGATACTTCTGAAGATCGTTGGGACATGAGAAGCACCAAAGGCACCTGCGCAGTCTTCAACGCTCTCCTCGAAAATCTTGACCAGATCGTCGTCATCGAACGATCCATCTGGTCCGCGTTGCAGGTTGGCAAGTGGGCGATTCTCAGGTTGTTCTGGCAACTTCGCCTCCCATCGACCAAGAGCGCGGATGAATTCTTCTTGAGTAATGGTCGCAGGGTCTTTCCCGTGAAGAAGATCTTTGAAGGCACCTTCCGTCCATTTCTCATCGCGTTTGGAGACACAAGCATGCCAGCGATACACGAGATTGAACTCGGCAGAGACTTGATTTCCCGTGGCCTGTGCTGCGGCCTCACCGAGTAGGCTGTCTTTCATTTCCGCCCGGGGGTCGAGACTCCAGGTACTATCCGTCCGGTTAACGTTCAGGATGGTTCGGACATAGTCCTTGAGGATGATATTGACGTATAGACCACAGGTGACCAGCCGGGCGGTCTGGAAGAGGTTATTGTCGTATTTCGCACACTCTTTCTCATTAGACTGATCCGGCTTGTTAAACCGGCCACCTTCGTTGATTGATGCCAACTGGTCGACCACATAATTGTGGAATCGATTGAACATAATCAAAAGGACGCCAACACCAGGGGGAAATCCCAGGACTCTCTTGGTAGAGAAGCAGTCAGGTTTGAGCTTTCCATCCTTGAACGTCCTGACAAGATTCTGTTCATCTTGGTTATTGCCATACAGCGGTGCAAGGTCGAGGTAGGATGAAGCGGCGGAGACCGTGCTATCGGCTCGGTCCGTTTGGAACAAGTCTTGATGTCGGTCAGCGACACAGCATTTCGGGAGAATTTTGTCTCACGCTTACCATGGATGATAATCGAAGCAATGTAGAATAGAACGCTGGAAATCTTGTTGGGGTGTTCCTTGAAGTCTTTCCGTGCCAGAAGACTGTCGAAAAGGGTCTCGGGGTCTGGGAGTGCAGGAGACTGAACGGTAGTCGGCCTTACAGACCTAGCGTAGTGAGAGCCAGCAGCTCCAAGGTGAGGCCACAAGGCATTCTACGGTCCATGTGAGTGGGCTTTCGGCCATAGGATCGGGGCGAAGGACTACATACATTGCCTGACCCATCTGCCTTCCGGTACAAAGACTCATGTCCAAGATACCTGAACGAGAATGTTAGTCTCGTGTTCCCAGAAAAATGGCATGTCGTCAGTCAACGTACGAGAGAGGTGGGTGTTCCAGATCATTCCACAATTGATTGAGAAAGGTGTTCGTCAAAGCTTTGCCGCTTCTCGAGGTAGAAGGGAGCCCCGAAGCGAGCTGTCGCGAGATGAGCGTCAAGCATAAATCTCAAGGACAACATGAAAACGTACCTGGACTAATCGCTCCATAACGTACTGTTTGTCATCAACGGGCTCGCCTGTCGCAGCATTCTTGGTAAGCTCCACGATGGTTTTGACATCCTCGAGGTCGACATGACTTAGGTCTTGCACGATTCCTGTGTCCGTTGACTTGGGGACATAAGTTCCGTCCCCTGTTTCGGTAGGTAGGGGTCGCAATGAAGCGGATACAGTTTTTTCAATCTGCGAAATGGCTTTCCCAATGCCATTGAGCATGGAACCGTTATTGGCTTCACCCATTCTAGATGAAAGTCCAGGCGTCGCCTGTGATCCTATATATATAAAGTTCGAAGCAGTTGGTTACAACCGACTTGTAACCGATCAGTATCGCAGAATTTCCAGTCTGTGTAGTGAATATCAAAATGAGAGGCAATGGGTATAGTGATGAGCTGGATACAGGGGAAAGCCCCGAATGATATTGAAAGTCACATGGTCTCTCGGTGTATAGCAGTAAGGGTGAGACACATACAGTCTGTCACAGAACGGCCTGAAGAACCCGGAGTGGCTCACCAACTAGGACCGGTCCAAATTACCACTCTGAGGGGATCAGTGGGGTTGGGATATCAATGGTGTCGATGACAGGGAATTGGGCCAGAAATTTTATATTCAAGAAGAGCAAATGTCTTAGATTCGACGGTAATCAAAATTAGGTTCAGTGCCGGAAAGTATCCTCCGACAATCTCGGATGGTGAGGGGAAATATAATAGTTAGATAATTTTTACAAAGAGTATCAAAGAATTCCCCAGTAGATCAATAGATTGTCAATCGAAGGATCTCGAGGGCCGGGTTGATGCAGGTCATTTATAACCGGAATTATCAAGGTGTCATTGTCATTATGGTTAGATTAACAACCAGGCTGATGGGTTGAATTATACTCCCTGCCAGGGTTTGTGCCAGTGCGGCTGAAGGGATAGTTCTCGGCCTCCCCGTTACTAGCAGGAGCTGGACACGAGTGCTAGTGAGATGGTATTTTTTTTTTTTCTGTGCAGGACCGAGTTCCACAGCCTATGCCCATCCTTCTGATTTGCCCACGAGGCTTCACGACCAAGAAATTGGCGACCAACCTATCAGACTTGGGTTGTTTAGCCGATTGAGGAGCTGAGCAATGGGGGCGAAAGTTGAAGATCGTGGAGAGACTAGTGTAACGGAGCAGCCCGTCAGGTGGAAGCTTCGGGGAGTTCGAGAGAAACTAATCTCAAGTACCTAACACTATAGACCGCAGCTATGCCGCATAGAGGGGGGTGCTGATGACGGTTGGGACAAGTCCGGTCTATCTCCGAGCACAGCCAACGAGCTGATAGAATGACGCTAGACCATGGACATGACAGGCTATTTAGATGAATAAGAATGGTAGGAGCCTCGATTTTATGGCTGTGTGGAGCTTTCTGGGGTTGGCAGATGGACTCCGTACAATGGGATAGTATAAATAGTATGTATCACGGTAACATGAGCAAACCAAAATACTCCGAAATATGTTCCTATCCTTGATTGCTTTCAGGTATCAACAATTACACCTCAAATTCCTGGCGATCAATTTCCAATAGTCGGGGATTGTTACGAAATGTCTTTAGAAGCCTCATGACGCAGGAGTACACCACCATTCTAGATAATATTATATTGAATTGAATTTCATTGTCTCAGATGAAGGACAAGGCCCCCAGTTCCTGGCTCCAGTTGGGCCAGTGGCGCATTGTAGGAAGAAATAGACAGTGCCACTGCCCCGGCCAGTTGCCCCGACTACTCCGTACACAGTATGGCTCCAAACCCCCAGCCAGCCAGCTTTCTAGATAGCCTCGCAGCCTTCCCAAGATGCCTGCTAGTTGATGATGTTATATCATGGCATGGAAGAAGCAATTGTAGAATTATAAATAGAGGGCTGTGCATTCGACTATTCCATTATGCAGGGTGGTCTGGACATAAATATGGCACACGATATATGCAGTACTTTGTATTCCACCAGGCCAAACAACGATGGAGTCCATGCGTATCATGCGTATTGCCGGTGCAGAATGGTCACGTGGCCTGTGGTTGCCGAGGCCTGGCGGTACCTAGTTCACTAACCCGAGCTATCTTGGGCAATCTTGATTTTCATTGTCACCACCATTGTTGAAGTCCCTCATCACATTGCTTGCAATCAAGTGCATGTGTGTGTCTATGAGTGGGAAATTGGCTGGTTTATTGAAATCACATCCATCTCACTGCGTCAATGGCTTCTCCATCCATCACCCTGGCTATTCAGCCACGGGGTACGTGTCGCTCTCAGCTGCCTGGTTCAATGGTCTATATTACTCGAGACTGACATGGGGGATTGTTTAGGAAAACTCGGCAAGAAAATCCCTAAGGAGGTTCAGATTGCTTCGGATGCATCCACCCAGGAGATCTACCAATCGCTCGCCAAAGTGTCGGGTCTCTCCATCCACCGCCTGAGAATCACCAAGGCCAGTGACCGGAGCTTGGTGCCGAATTCCAAGAACGACACGATCACCAGCACCGGTCTGAGTGCCAAAGATGTGCTCCAGGTCAAGGATTTGGGCCCCCAGATCAGCTGGCGCACTGTCTTCATCATCGAATACCTCGGACCCATGCTCATCCCGGCCCTGTTCCTCTTCCCCCTCCGCCCATACCTCTACTTCAACTTCGACAAGCCCCTCCCGGAACCGTCCGACCTCCAGATCCTCCTCTGCGGCCTCCTCACCCTCCACTTCCTGAAGCGCGAATATGAGACCATCTTCGTGCACCGATTCAGCAACGCGACCATGCCCGCCTTCAACATCGTCAAGAACAGCGGCCACTACTGGGTGCTCGCGGGATTCAACATCGCCTACTGGGCCTTCCGCCCCGATGCCGCCGCCGCGGTCTCGACCTCCCAGGCGAACCCTATCCTCCTCTACACCGGCGTGGCTCTCTTCGTATTCGCCGAGCTCGCCAACCTCAACGCCCACCTGGTCCTCCGTGACCTGCGTCGTCCCGGTACCACGGACAGGGGTATCCCCTCCGGATTCGGATTTAGCCTTGTGACGTGCCCCAACTACCTGTTCGAGATCCTGGCTTGGGTCGGCGTCTACCTGGTCAGCGGACTCAGCTGGAGCGTCCTGTTCTTCATCATCGTCGGTGGTGGTCAGATGGCCGCGTGGGCCTCGAAGAAGGAACGCCGGTACCGCAAGGAATTCGGCGACAAGTACAAGCGCAAGAGGTCTGTCATGATTCCTGGCATCTACTAGAGTGGATGCAAACAGACGTTGCTGTGACACATGCGAGCCGGGAGTCGGGCACACTTCGGTTTAAACCAGGCCTGGTCTCGACCAATTGCGTGTGCGCTGGCTCGTCATGGGGCTTGACCCTTGATATTCCGTGATATGGAGGATCCGTCTTCCTCCATACACCTGTATGTTTAAAGTGATACGATTGCGTTTGCAAAGGATACCCTTCTTGGGTGCTATCCCGAGCAGGGGGGGAACAACCCCCAGTTTACCCTCAGGTGTAATATGATACACGATATTTTTTTCAATGCATTGAAGTTATCAGCTATCATCTTGTAGCCAGCTAGCTAATTTCTATAATTCAACGAGCAAATCCCTGCTCCAGAAACACCGAGTTAAAAAAAAAAAAAAAACATTAGAAACCCACATTAACAAACCCCCATACCACAATCCAACCCTAACTCCACATAGCCAACCCATAAAAAGTATTGAAACCACATTCCTAATTGTACAGTCACAGGGTGAAGCCGAAAGAAGAATGAATCACTTGACAGCGTTTCTTTCATTCATTCATTCTTCAAATTCTTCGCCCAAAGATGGTAGTACGGGTCCATCTCCTTCTCACAGCTCCGGCTGAGTTCGGTGTCACACCCGTTGAACCGAATGATCAAGTCCCCGTCTTTGTAAGTCCCGTCTGCCACGGCGCCCGTGGAGTCCCGACTGTAGGCGTTGATTGCCCGCTGCGGGATGAGGGCCAGCCGGGCTAGGATGGTAGGATGCCACTGGACGAGATGGTCCTGGAGGTAACGGTCAGCACAAACAGCCACACGATGAGTACGGTGAAAAAGAACAACGTACCAACGAGTGAGTCTCCGCCCTAGCAAAATTATAACTCCGATACAACGGATCAAACCAAATATCCAGGAAGAAGCGCGAGAACTCGCCCTGTCGAATGAGAAAGCTCCCCGAGCTCAAGTCATCGCTGTCCGTGGAGACGATCAGATCGACGTCTTCGGCGCGCAGATGCGCGTACGTCTTGATGATGCTGTCGGGCGGCACGACGGGGACATCCTTGCGCATCAGCGACTCCAGGCGGCTCTTGTCGAGGACGTGCGATTCTAGCGACTGGCTCGGGTTCATGAAGAGCGCGTGGGCGTCGAGGTGGAAGAAGAACTTTGAGTACGGGTTGGATGCCATCGCGTGGCGGACGGCGGGGATGAGCGCCCAGCTGCGCGGTGCGCCTTCGAGCGACGGTTCGTAGTCGGCGAGGTTCGCGAAGTAGTTGGTATAGCCTGCGTCCGCGGGATTGTGGTCAGTATGACTGAGCTCCGTGAGGAGAGGGGGGTCGCCGGTCGGTTTTGGCACTTACCATGTCGTTTGGCGTAGTCTTCCCTGTTCTTGATGATCTTCTGGATATAGGCATCGCTGAAGAGCGCCCGGTCGAGGACCGTGACGATGACGACGCTGGGGGTTCCGGCGGGGACTGCCGAGGTGCCGGTGCTGGTGTAGAAGAGCTGCGAGAGCAGGAAGAAGACCGCGAGGAGCGCAAAGGCCAGGATACCAACAGCCTTGAGTTGTTTTCGACGCTGGAGGGAGAATCGAGGGGCTCGACCGTAAGGACTCTGGAGGTTCCTCCGAGGAGGCACGGCAAACTGCATGGCGAAAGCGAGGCGAAACTATTCCGCCCCCGACACTCAGATTCTAGGCTTGCTTGCGATTCGACGAGGGTGGTTGGTGTTCAGGGACCCTGGAGATCAGGGCATTACTGGGGACGTCCGAAGCTTGTCCTCCTTTTTCTTTTGTCACTTTCTTCGCAAGAGATGAGTGGGGGAAGAAAGAGTGTCGCTCGGTTCCTGTACCTTACCATTCGACATGACCGTCTGTAGGCCGGATCCGGAAATTAATCGCGGATCATTTTTGGCCCGGGTCGATTCGAGGCCCTCGAGTCGCCAAGAACGTGGATAGTCTCAGATTGCTTCAATCCAGGAACACTTGGTGGAGCTGTCATTCGTTTTATTATTAGACATCTCCTGTTGGCTAATGGCTATCGTAGGTGGTGCGATGGGACGACAGATAGCGGGGCTTACAATATATTCGTTTCCGTATACTTCAATAATATACCTATAACCGAGTGGAGCATGGAAAGGAACGCTCCCTCTACCCTTCATTAGCACAACTAGAGGTTTCAGGTTGAGAACATTGCTATGAAGGAATGGTCAATCGAGGATAAAACATTTATGACCTGTCGTTGACCACCACAAGACTATCTACAGAAAATGCCTTGCTTACATTTGAGGCCTGAAACGCAATTGCACATAAAATTGAGGAAATCTAACCCTGAAGTGGACCAAATATAAATACATTGTAAAGCAAATCATTCATGCAAATCGAAGAAACCCTATACAACTGAAGTCGCTTCCCCTGCCACCTTGAGGATAGTGGCAGCCCTGATATCGAGGGAAGACAGTCAACATGTAAATCGAAGTAATAGTACAGACGCTTCGCTCGTCGAAGACATCGACTGTCAATATGGGCCGCTATCGCTTGCTCTCTTCCGCTAATACAGCTGCTTGTTGTAGAACGGTTTCGTGGCCTCCTTGATGTTGGTCTGGTCCTCCTCCGCTTGTGCTTTCAACTCCGCTTCCTTCTGCTTCACCCATTCCTCGAAAGTCGGCGGCTCAGGCAACCCCAAGCGCTTTCGCTCCTGCTTGAACTGTTCCTGTATCTTTGGCGTCTGCATCACACGCCACCTCAACTCCCACCCGAACATGCCGAGCTCCCTGACTCGACCGGGTCTGTCGTCCAGCAGGTACTGGTCAAGACCACCAGCCTTGCGGATCGTCCGCAGGGCCTTTCGCGTGACCTTGATGAATAGATCTTCACCGAGTGCCTCGCTGTGGATCTTCTTTCTGCGCACGTTGGGCTTCCATGATCGTCGTGTCTTGCCCTCGTTGCGACCTTGGGAGATTTTATTGCCGAAACTGATCTGAACGCCGCCGTAGAGACCCGAGTCTGCTTGCTTGTAAACGTATTTCGGTCCGAAGGGATACGGCGGGATGTATTCCGGTAGCGTGCGCGTCTTCTGCGTGACCGGCGTTGAGGAAAAGGATCGTTTCGAGGTGTTTAACGAGATGTTGCGAAAGGCTGCCGAGAGGGAGGAGGGCAGAGACATGCTGGAACGAGCCTGCAATCCCGCCATTGTTGCGATCAAGATGCCGTGGCAGTATTTACCATGCCAGGAAGGGACGATAAATCAAGAAAAAGAGCGGGCGGGCCGACGAGATGCTGGTCGAGACGTGATTCGCAATATAGGATGTCGAAGTAGGCGTGTGTCGGTCGGTGGTGAAAGAATTTGGGGCCGCTTGGGGCTGACCGCCCTGACAACGGGCCACTGTCATTGATCGATTGTTCCCCCAAGCTGCGCGCTCGAATTTCGGCCAGAAGCATCCCCATTGCCTTCTTGCTTCCATCTCCGATTTTCCAACCGGCCAGTTCTAATTGATTCCTCGTCTACTCGTCCTATATCCCGATTCATTGTCTCCTACCTCGATCGAACGTTTTTTGCCGGCACCGACGAGGCCGCAGTCCCTCCACCATGGTCCAGATCAGCGAAGTGAAGGGCAATTCGCGCGAAAACAGGACAGCCGCCCATACGCATATCAAGGGTCTAGGACTGCGCTCCGATGGAACCGCAGAGCCGTCTAGTGATGGCTTCGTTGGGCAGGGGTCTGCCCGTGAGGTGCGCCCAGACCTATCTCCCTTGCGATTCTGCCAAGAGACTTGTAGGCTAACGCAGAAATTCTCTTGCACAGGCATGTGGTGTCGTGGTGGACCTGATCAAGGCGAAGAAGATGGCCGGACGAGCCGTTCTTCTGGCTGGTGGCCCGGGAACGGGCAAGACGGCGCTTGCTCTCGGTGTTTCCCAGGAGCTGGGTACTAAGGTTCCATTCTGCCCTATCGTGGGTAGTGAGATCTACTCGGCCGAAGTCAAGAAGACTGAGGCCCTTATGGAGAACTTCCGGAGGGCTATTGGTATGCGTTCTCTGATAGACTCACAAAACATGGGCGTGTGTGGTTAACATCCATAGGTCTCCGTGTGCGCGAGACGAAGGAGGTGTACGAAGGCGAGGTGACGGAATTGACCCCCGAAGAAACCGAGAATCCATTGGGCGGCTACGGACGCACAATTAGCCATCTGATCATTGGACTGAAATCTGCAAAGGGGACTAAGAAGCTCCGTCTCGACCCCAGCATCTACGAAGCCATCCAGAAGGAACGAGTCACAGTCGGAGACGTCATCTATATCGAAGCGAACACCGGTGCCTGCAAGCGAGTTGGACGGTCGGACGCGTACGCCACGGAATTTGATCTCGAAGCAGAGGAATACGTTCCCGTACCGAAGGGTGAAGTCCACAAGAAGAAGGAAATCGTCCAGGATGTGACGCTACATGACCTCGACATGGCCAATGCCCGGCCACAGGGCGGACAGGACGTTATGAGCATGATGGGACAGCTCATGAAGCCTAAGAAGACCGAGATCACGGACAAGTTGCGACAGGAGATCAACAAGGTGGTCAACCGCTACATCGACCAAGGCGTTGCCGAACTTGTTCCTGGCGTTCTCTTCATCGACGAGGTATGCCAAAGATACACATTTCCAACCCCGTTCACTACTAACGCAGCACCACTCAGGTCCACATGCTCGACATCGAATGCTTCACATATCTGAACCGGGCCCTCGAATCCTCCATCTCCCCGATCGTCATTCTCGCCTCCAACCGCGGGAATACCGTCATCCGCGGCACAGACGACATCACCGCCGCCCACGGCATCCCCACCGACCTCCTCGCCCGTCTCCTCATCATCCCCACCCACCCGTACGCCCCCGACGAGATCAAGACCATCATCCGCCTGCGGGCCAAGACAGAAGGTCTCAACATCACCGACCCCGCCCTCGAGAAGGTCTCCGAGCACGGCAGCAAGGTCAGTCTACGGTACGCTCTGCAGCTGCTGACGCCCGCAAGCATTCTGGCGCGGGTAAACGGACGACCGGGTGGCATCGAGGAGGCCGACGTGGTCGAGTGCGAGGATCTTTTCATCGACGCGAAGCGGAGTGCTATTATCGTAAGCAAGGATAGCGAGAAGTTCTTGCTTTGATCTGCGATGATATATTCAACTTCGGGGTGGAATTCTATAAAGAGACTACGGAATAAACATGAAAACCAACACAGGAAAATGGGGAAGGGGGAGGGGGAGGGCAAGGACTACTCGACTGATGTGTATACCATGTCTGACACGTTGGAGGGTTTCATCATGAACTGGAATGGCGACTGTTTCATCTTAAATAAACTGTTTTACGCTAATGTCAACTATTCACTTAAGTATGTATTCCATTTCTCGTACGAAGCACTCCGTAGATTATGTACAAATTGCAGAGGGCGAATTAGAAACATCCTGGGAACAGATTACTATGCCTGTGTTGCCCTGGAGTATTAGGCTTGCTTCTTGCTTCTGATCACAGGAAACCTCAAGCCAAGATAGTACGCAACCGACAACGTTTTACCCCAAACAACCCGCAAGAAGACAAAAAGCAGTTCCAAAAGAAGTGCATATAGACGGAGCAGTCTAAGCACCAAGCGGACCAGATTACCTCTCAAACCCAAATTGCACACCGACGGCGCCGAACTCGCAGGTGTGCCATGGTAGTCTACCGAAAACGGCACCCGAGCACCGAAGTGTTCAATGGCGATCTCAAAGCTAGCAGTAATGGCATCTTCGAGATTACCACGACCGGTCCAGGAGTAGCAATAGCTTAAGCCGTGTTTGTTCTGGATGGAGGGTAAACACTGCTGTGCGTAGAGGGAAGTGACGCTGGGTTCAGCGTCTGTGAACTCCCATATCCCTTGGACGAGGCCAGGATGTGGCGGTGTGAACGGGTTTAGGGTGATGAACACGCGGCCGAAGAGGTAGGCTGGGAGGTCCTGGAGCATGTTCACGTTGTATGTGAGGCAGGATTTAGGGAGCGTTGGGTGGGAGGAGACTGCGCATTGATGGCCGTAGCGGCTGTGGGGGTCGGTGGTGTAGTTTGAGGCGGGCCATTGCGGATTGCAGCTTAGATTGAGCTTGAGTGTGTTAGTGTCTGGTACAGATATCTGGTTGATCTATATTGCCAGTGGATATGGCCATGCGGATGGATACTCACGATGGGATCTGAATGCAGGATAGCGATGTTCCTTGAAGTCGCTAAATCTTGAATTACACTCGTTTCCTCTATGTCTAGGCAAAGGCCCGCGATATTTAGTATTTCGTGGCCGTCTACGGCCAGTATAACATGGTCGAAAACCATCTCTTGATCATCAGCGCCCAGGAGGCTATATTGCTTTTCACCAAATCGGCGTATTTCCCGCACCCGTGTGTTGAGATGCACCTTTTCTGGAGGAAAATCCTGAGTCATGGCTTGAACAAATTCGGTTGCTCTTGTGTCGATGCGCCGCCACTGGGGTCTTGCCTGCCGCGGATAGAGCAGTCGGTGGTCATATAAACAGCTAACCATGGCGTCCACTGGGAGCCGCGGGAGAAGCCGACCAGCATTCGTCTTCCACAGCATAGAGAGCAGCGGAATCAGGTACCTATCAGTGAAGCCGCTCGAGTACCCTTCGTCTGCGAGATATGCGTGCGTGTTGCATGCCCGTTGGGTGTTTTTGGTTTTGGAGAACCGGGAGCAATCGGCTAGGACGTCTATGGCCATGTACTTCAGCCAGATGATGTCCATTAAAGTGCGATATGTCTCTAGGCTGAACAGGATCCATGGCTGCTGGATGATGTCTTTCAGGATGCTCTCATGCCATGAAAAAGAGCCTGTGCGATCTGATGCGCCGAAACAGAAGGGAACCTCTGATGTTTCTAGCCTCAGATGGCGAAGCAGAGACGTGAGATTGGCTACAGGTAGATATTAGCTCAAGGATGACATTGGTGTATGATGCAAGCAAAACTAACGGCAGGTCTCAGAGTTGAATGATAGTGATTCCGTATCCACGTCGACTCTGTGTCCATTGTGTTCAAATGGCACGGACTTGATCCTTCCACCGAGGGTCGGGGAGGCCTCGAATAGATGAACGTCATGTGCGGAGTGCTGCAAAGCCCAAAAGGCAGAGATTCCTGAAGAGCCGCCTCCTATGATCGCGACGAGCTTAGGCTGATGCAGTGGCATGAGGGCGAACTTTAAGTGAGCTTTCCATTAAGCTCAGAAAGCAGTCCAAAGTCCAGTGCCCAGAGCTAGGTATGATGTCGAATGAGAGCCCTGAAGAGACTCTCAAATTATAGACGAGGTGAGACAGGCCTGGTGAATGAACTCTACAGCAATAATACCGGCTCCTTTAGCCCCCATACGAAGGTACGGCAGAGGGGCATTAGGGCCTCGAGAGCGAAGTAAGCAAGCGTGCGATACGGCGGGGAAGCATGTATTGGAGTAGGGGCGCGATCAGGGACAACCCTGTTTAATAACCGCTTGAGATGCCGAGAATGTCTCTGTACACAGTATGGAGGATCAGACAGTCAGACAGGTATGGGTGACCATATCAGATGACAACACTCGAGGTGATAATCATAATAGGAAGGCCAATAATGGGTTAATTAGTTAATAGTCAATTACCAGGAGTATTGTTTGGTGAGTCAGCAGATATCAAGGCCTGAAATATGTCCAAAAACCGAGGAGTTATGTCCACTTTAAACAGCACATTAGTTGAGTTTCTCAATGCATTATGTGACGTCTTTCATTGGCCCCATAGTCGCGAACATTGAGGAGGTTAAGTCCGGGGTACTTTGGTGTATTGTGATTTGTAGGGGTTTGGCTATTGCTCCACTATTCCAGCAATATGAATATAGCATTTCAGAGAAGAACGGGTTTGACTTATGCAGGAATCCTGCTGTCAGCATACTCTGCGGAGTTCTGTTCATGTGGGAAATCGAATTGGACGCGGAGTATCTCCGTGTCATTCTCCTATATCATTCATGAGACATGCCCCATACAGGAGTGGGTTGAGAGAGCTGGCTTGTTTCAGCCTATTCTATGAATCAGGTTCATATGAAGTAGTCACAGGGACGTAGTACTATGTGCTAAACACAGTAAATTACTGAGGTATGGTCGGGGAAGACATAGCCTCGGCCGGCAAGTCACGTGTCGATCAGCCCGCTCTGGTCCAGATGAGGTTAATCAATGTCACCGTCGGTCTATCATCAGCGTCACCGTCCTTGTCTCCACTCCAGACTCCTCTCCGCCACCTCGTCCGTCGCCCTATCACCACTGCCTAGCACCACCATATTCATCAGTCTTCCTCTTCACCAGGGTGTGGGTTTTTCTCGTCAAATTCGCATCGGGACATCATCTTCCAGGCAACAGTAAAGGTGCCGCCTATCGCTACACCTAAACCCCCCAGTTGTTCATATCGACTCGAATAGCCGCAGTCCGCGACAGGTTCTCGGACTTAAAGTCGAAACCACTACTCTATCTCTTGAAATAAACACTATCGCATCACAATGGCGAACCCTTTGGATACCGATGCCGGGTCGGAGCTCTTCAGCAGCTACGAGGCCGAGTTCAAGCTGCTCCAGGCCGATTTCAACCAGAAACTAGACCAAATTTCCGAAGCCAGCGGCGAGCAACGGAAATCAGCGATCCGGATGGCAGCACAGGCCCAGGAGGAGGCCAATGAATTGGTTCGTGCCACACACTTCATAAAAAAGAGCCGCATCAATGAAATGTTCTAACTATTTAAATACTGCAGTTGGAATCAATGCGCATAGAGAAACAGAACATCCCCTCAGAAGCTCGATCGAAAGTGAACCAGCGGTTCCGCAACTACTCAAGCGACATGGACGAGGCGAAACGCAAGCTCAAATCCCTCTCCGACGATCGCAAAGCGCTCTTCGGCGATCGCTACACCGACGACCCTCAGGATGAGCACCTCGAGCAGAGACAGCAGCTTTTGTCGGGGACAGACCGTCTGGAGCGCAGCTCCGCTCGGCTGCAGAACAGCCAGCGCATGGCCCTCGAAACGGAAGCCATCGGTCGCGGTACGCTGGGCGACTTGGGACAGCAGCGGGAGACTATCTTGCATGCCCGGCAGGGCCTCCAGATGAGCGAGGGTTACGTCGACACTAGCATTAAGACGCTGAGGGGCATGGCCCGTAGGTACTGACTCCCGTGCATTTCTGTTTACATTGTCCCCTGTTATCTTCAAGGAATAGATTACTGACATGTGGCGTTCGTCGATAATACAGGATGGCTACGAATCGGATGATCACGATTGCGATTATTACTGTGTTGGTGTTGTTGATTTTCGCCGTTATCTACAGCAAGTTTCATTGAGCGAAGGGCTATTAGGGCGTTATTGTGGTGTTGTTCTTCCTCGACCTTTTGTTTTCAATTTATGACACGCTTGTCTGTCCGCACAGACCTCTCCAACATGTATGATAGCGTTCCTTGAGCTTTAATAAGACCAGACGTTGGAGACCGCAAACACCAAAAAACACAACGACCGTAAATGCAATAAATCTAACACTAAATAGACAACAATATGAGAGGGGTATCACGCACTACCTAAACACCAAAATACAACAAACCAAATCAAACAAGCATCTCCCCAATACACTCATCCCATAACCCGCATCGCCCCAAAAGCCATATTCACCACGATGCCCACAAAAACAGCCAGCCCCTTCCGCCAGCTCCAAATGCCCTCCTCCCGTCTCAACCACATCGCACAGCCCACAGGCCAAAAGAACCCCATGACCGCGCCCCACAGCATATCATCTATCGCCCCATGCGACCCAGACCCGAACCCGCCGTCGTCATCCGCAAAGGCCACGCCCCCGTCGCCGCCCGTCCCAGTCGCATTCGCCATAGGCGACGACCCCTCGTCCATCCACCGATCTTCCAGCTCGCGCAGCTCCGCCCCGCTCGGCATCGTGTCCGGCGTGCGCGACACGGACTGGATGGCCATGAACTGCGATCTTAGCATTGACACGTCTGCGGGCGTGAAACCTGCTGATAGCAAGCGGTCGAATCCGCGCGGGGCGGGCGTCGTCGTAGATCGTTGCTGGTCATCAGCGGCGTCATTATCGCCCCCTGGTTGCGATTGCGACTGCGCCTGCTTCTGCTTTTGCAACGTAGACGCCACAGCGGCCTCAGCAGCCAAATCCACAGCGGAGAGAACTATATCGCCAATCGAGCAGTGTATGTATAGACGGGGCGGTTCGCGCACAGGCTGCTTCCCCTTGCCCTTATCATTCGCGGATCCATTGCT